GCACCCATGGGAGAGGCAGGGGAGGGTTTGTAGGGCAGGCGGCAGCACCAGCCCTGGAGGAAGCAGCTCTGTCGGTGCTCAGCCACCTGCATGGGAAGGTTTTCCTGCAGCACAGCACCCTGACTGGGTGACCCAGCACCGATACCCTCCTGCTTGGGTCCCCTCTGACACCGCCGCGACTTCAGCCCAGGGAGATGGAGTGAAACAAACCCATTGCGGGGTGAAAGCCCACGCAATCTTAACGAAGCTCTGCAGATGGCAACAGGAGGACCTGGTAGGACACCCAAACTCTCGTGTGTACTCCAGGGAGGCACCAGGCTGGAACAAAAAGCCCGGAGCTGCTCACTGGGCATCCCCTGCACCTCCGCACGGCGTGCTCTGACCGTGTTTCCAGCAGCAGCACTCCCTTTCCTTAAGATCTTTTTCAAGCAGCGTTCTCATTTGCCCTCTTTTCTTAAAAGCAAGAGGGACTCGCACAGTGTCCTACTTACTGGGGATACCTGATTAAGCAGTTTTGAACAATGAACTGCTCCCTGCTATTCTGCTTTCACACGCAGAGCGAGCACGTGCTCAGGATTTGCTCTTGCGCTCCCTTCCCAAGCGAAAGACGTTTGAGGGGCATCACCCTTGGCCAGCAGCAGGCGGGTCACGAGCAATTCGGGTGTGATATGTACAGATGTTCATACGCTGCTGAGAACCAGAAGGTCAGGAACTGTGCTGCAGTCCGTACCTACAAACACAACGAGGTCAAGAACAAGAAAAACACCACAAAAACATGAGCAGGTAACTGAAAAAAAAAATCATAGAGAGTAGAGAGAGTTTTATGATTGCTCTGCATAGATCAGAGCAAGTGAAACATGCTGGAGACCAGCAGGAAAAGTGTCCTTGGTCTCTGCAGAGGGGGGATCTGCCCCCTGAATTGCTGCTCCGTGAAGTCACCGCCATGAGAAACGTTCTTTAATAGCCCTCGAGACTACCTTCTCAAGCTCTCACTTGAAAAATAAAATCAAGGGAGAAAAATCTGAATTTCTAAATTCTAATTCCTCAGCCCACTGATGCACCGACTGCACCTGCCCCTCCAACGACCCCTAATGCAAGCACCACAGGCATTCCTCTCCAACACGGGGCTTTGAAATCGGTGCTGACAAAAAGCATTTATTAGCCAAAAACCTTCATTACTACTCCGGGTCCAGCAATCCCGAGCTGCAGGCAGGGTGACGCGACACAGCACGAGGGAGGAGCCAGCACACAAGCTCCCAGGCTGGGGAATGATTCACTGCAACACTGCAGTGCAGAAGGTGCTCGGATTTCCCACCAGCACAGGGGATAATTACAAAGCGTGCTACGGCATCGCGGCCAGAGGCGTCGGAACAGCCCCGACCCAAGGCACGGCACTGCCTGGCCCCCGGAGGAGGTGGCGTGAGGAGTCAGTCCCTAAAACTTGGCCTCCCTCCCAGCAGACATTCCAGGTAAGAAATCTGAACTAAAAAAAAAGCCAAGTTGCCATTAAATATTTGTTTCCAGTACCTTTTCAGAATGTTCCTGCGATTCTCAGGCCGAATTTGGGGAGCAGAGGCTGCCTCCCACATCGCTTCCCGGCTGATGACCGCATCGTGCTCGGCGCAGGTAACTCATCAGCCAGAAATAGCTGTCGGCTCCTGAGGAAACCACCCCACAGCCAAACGCAAGGCAGTCAAAGAAACCAGCCAGACCGAGGAAGGCAGCTCCTACGGATACACGTGCACGTGAAACATTTCCCACTCTTACAGCCACAAGCACAGGGCGGCAGAAATACCAGGGCTTGGGCAACTCGCTAAACCCTCGCTCGATTGCACAAGCCGGAGCCCCCACCAGCAGCCCTCCAGCGCCGGGCTCCAAGGCACCTTTCACAATCAGCAGCCCCCGATCCTATTGCTCTGACAGCAGTTTGGGCCCTTTCAAAGCCCCACGGGTTTCAGAGAGGCAGGAGGCTGCTGCCTACGGTCAAAAATCAGGGCAGTTGTCGACAGGGGAGGCTCCAACCTGGCCGCGCCACCACGAAGCGAGGCACTGCGCCCACTGCTCCTATCCCTGCCACCAAGCACGCTTCTGAAGCAACACCTCCGAGGCTCTTAGCTGTGAAGCAAATCGCTGCTTATGGCTAATCTGAGGGCAAATGAAGGCAGCGGGGGGGTCCTTGAGCCAGGGAAGTCTGCAGCTGCGCACCAAGAGCCGGCCCAGCCCGCGCGCACTCGGTTCCGCGTTAGCCGCATGGGAGCCAAGAGCAGCTCATTAAACCAAGCCCATAGCTGGCAGGGCTTCCCAAAAAAGAAGGTGTAACGAATACCTCCCTGCTTTGTTTATGCATTACACGCTGGCCTGGTTATCTGCTCCAATGGCAGCGCCTTCCCAGGCAGCAGGGAGCTTTAGGAGGACCCAGCGAGTCCTGGTGCGCGCCTACTGCTACAGGGAGCTGCGATCCCCGCCGAGACGCTGCCTCTACAGCCAAGACCAGGCCTGAGCAGCGCGAATGCTTCAAGTCTGTCCTTGACCAGATAGCGATTCTGGAATGCCACCGTGCCAGAAAAACTCAAAGGTCAGCTCTTATCTCAGCATGATGTAAACAGGTCTTTGTTTCTTTCGCATGCTTCTACTTCGGTCCCAGAGGCGGGCGGCGACTCGGCCGCTCGCTGCCAGCCAGACGCAGGATTTGAGAAGTCAGGATTTGAAGAGTCACTCTCACTAGGGAGTGAGAAAGCAGCAAGCGAGTCCTTGGGGGAAGGAAGGAGCAGCCAGGAACAATACCCAACCACAGGAACCCGGCTAGGGGATCAGGCAAAGTTTTCGCACCCATTACCATACTCCGTCTTGCTACTGGAATTATGAATAAGTATAATAAAAGTCTTCCCAATAATAAATAAATTCTTCAAGCTGCAAAACCCAGCCATACTTAAGCAAGCCTCTGCCCTTCTGTGCTCGCACAAACACCAAGCAACGCCTCTGTACAAGCAGCTGGCCCAAGGTAGCTCTTCCCCCTCCTGCCACCGCGCTGCTCGCCGCGTGCACCAGCTCCTGAGCTCGACTCCAGGAGTTTGGGTAAGGAGCACAAACGCGCATTCAGCCTCAGCAGCACCAGAGCTCATGAGACCCAACGTCAAAGCGCTCGCACCAACAGGACAGTCGATGCTGGAAAGAGCAATTAGTGAATCCCCAGAGGCGTAAACTTTAAACTAGGCTTGGTGGGCCTGGCCTAGATGCCACTCCGCGTACACAGCGGCTTCTGAAACGGCAAACAACAGAAGGATCATTCTTTTTATTGGCTTTACAAATCTTTGGCTTTTAAAGAGTACTCGGGAGGCCGGGGAATGGCAAGGCATGACTAACAGAAAGGGCAGAAAAGTCAGCAAAGAATTTCACGTGTCGTGTCTCTGAATACCGCACTTCCTCTGGGGATTACGACGAGTGGCACAGGGATTTCACTTTGCTCGACGACACGGGAACCTACGAAACCCACAATGTGGAAAATTTAATATTGCTTTGGACAGACAATAGTGTCAGATGCCACCTCCAATAAGAGCTACAATGCTTCTGAATTCAACTTCACTACTAAACCCAACAGAGTAAGTTTGGGGATGTTATACAACGGGAATAAAGTTACCCAACTCTTTGCTACCAGCACCAGGGCCAAAAACCTGTGCCCAGCCTGCACAGATCACATGCCCAGCTGCTAGCTCCGCGCTGAACTCATCTAGAGTTAAAGATTTCACATACAGAAATTCATCTTACACTAACATCCCCAAAACAATGTGAAATTCAGCTGGAATTTAATGCCTGAGAGCTGCAATATACATGTTTATTAGCTCTTATCATGTGAGCGTGTTTTCTGTGGGACGCTCCAAGGTACCAAGTGCGCACGCTGTCCGTGTCCTACTTCAGTGAGATTTATGTCACGGCACCTGACCAGCCATAAACGTGCCTTTGGACAACAGGAATCAAAATACATCCAGCCAGTTCTCCACGGCTACCTGCACAAACCCAGAACAGCACAGGTATGCCAACAGCATCCCCAGCCAGGGAGGAGCACTGTGGCCGTGCAGAGCTTTCCGTCTGTGCTTCAGCCCGAGGGTCAACCAGGATGGAACCGATCTGCTGAGGCAAGCAACATTTCACACAGCCCAAACACACAACACGGCCTTTTAAGAGATTTGTTCAAAACTACCCTGATAAGCAATCCCAGGACAGACGCTTTTCTTTGGAAGAGAAGTTTCCCTTGTTCCTTGCCCTGTCTCAAGACCTTTTTCCTTGATGCGGGTTTTCCTCCTCCGCACACAAGTTTACAGCTAAGACTTTGGCAAACAGGATCCAGTTAGCAACCTATTAGCCGCTGTCATCATCTAATGCAACTCATCACAAATAATAAGAAAATTCCCAACAGTGACTTCCCAGAGGTTAAGGAAGACGACACACTCACTTTACACTTCTACCACCACTCAGCCCAAATCCTTTAAGATATTTTTTTTTTACCCACAGGCAGTTTAACCAAAAAATATAAGAAATAAATAAAAAAAACATCACCACTCTGCAGTCAGTGAAGATTCAGGCTGGCCTTACTTTACATAACTGGTTTACAACAAAGATCCCCATTGTAAAAAGACAAATATTTCATTTCGGGGACAGGGCCAACACATAAGCAAGAGAGCAGAGAGAACTGCTCATAGTATTTCAGGTTTGTATCTGCAGCATGCCTGAGCTGCTCCAGCCAGCCTCTTTCCAGGACTTGCTGCTCTGAAGGAACACCAAGGACTGCTGGACGCATGGAGGATTTTAACTTCAGCGCTCCATGCGCTGCCTGAGCTAGAAATGTGCCACAGATCACACCACACTGATTTTAACAATTATTTCTTTGATCTAAGCCCATCAGAAGAGAAAGGTGTTCCTACAAAATCCAGATTCTCCATCTGCCACCTTTCCCCTTGCTCTCCCCCCTGCCAGCAGTAAGGCAAAGCACGACTGCTACTTACAGCGGTACGTGGGGTTGTTCTGGGTCTGCTTTGGTCAGTTCCTCCTCTTCGACGTCAGACTCTCCTCCTGAGCTGCTGTCAGTGACATCCGAGTCAAACGCTTGTTCGCTGGATCTCAAGTTGGCCATACCACTGGCTGTGAATCTCTCCAGTTCTTCCGATATCGAATCGCTTTTCAAGAAGCTGCTCAGGCCTTCTGAAGTAACTGTCTCGCTCGCAGCTTTCCTCAAAGCTGCTTCTGCCTTTCTGGTCAACATCAACTGGCTCCGATGCCTCAGGGGGTCCAAGGTCGGGAGCTTGCTCAGAGTTTTCTCCAAGAAGCCACCCAACTGCTGTTGGATGTGTCTCTCCACCTGCTTCGCCTGCACCACTTGCAAGCGCTTCTGCAGCCTGCGAGCCCGGTTCTCAATGTCTGCCTGCCGTCGCAGCAATGCCCTCGTCCTCATCTCGGAGTCGAGAGCACTGTGGTAACCGGCCAGCAGAGAAGGTTTCTGCTCCTCCGACTTACCGCTCCCGAAGTCTGAGTGGCCAGCAGCACCGGGCAACCTGCTCTCCCCACTGCCACCCTCGAGCACCCGCTGTTGCTCCATGGAATTAAGGGAAGATTTGTTTGCAGTGCTATTATTGCTAAACGGAGTCGTGTGCTCGGCATCAAGGCTTCGGTGTGGAAGAGTGCAATTGGTCAACCCGGTCTTCAAATCCCCTGATTCGGAACCCCCTGCGTTATAGTCAACGCCCTGGAGGGCAGCGGCAGGAGGAGCACACTTCCCACCATTCAGAGCACTCGAGTTTTCATGGTCTGAATTGGTACTTTTGGCCAATTTCTTGGCCAAGCCGTTCACAGGCGCTTGCGGGAGAGGTGGCTGGCTATTAGTACTCATTGTTTTTAGATTCTCCAAAGTAAATTCCAACACCGGTTGCCTCCCCAACAGATCGCTTGTTTTCAAGAAGGACTGAGATAATAGAGAGTGAGATTTAAGGACTGTCTGCTTGTTGAAGACTCCTTGCAGCTTCAGAGGCTCTTTTGAAGGAACAGATGTAACATCCGAGCAGAGATAAGAGGCCACTAGCGGCTGCAGCTTGCCCAGCTCTTCCTTCGTAGGGTTGTTTCGGAAATCTAAACTGGGATCCTCCGGAGCAATGGCTTTCCTTTTGGTGCCGTTGGCAGCCAGGAGGATGTTGTTGGCGTTGCCGTTGCTCTCGGCACTGCCAGGCGACAAGGTGGAGGACGGGGGAGCCAGCTTGAATCGGATGTGGTGAGCTTCAGCTGCTGCGTCAGTGAGAGCGGGCGCCATCGCAGCCATTCAGCACAGAGAGACGGGAAGTCCAGCCTCTCCCGGTGCCGAGGCCAGCTCCACTGCCTCCCACTGCCTCTCCTGAGGACAGCCTGCAAAAGAGAAGAAGGAGAAAGTGAGACACCGCACTTAAATCGGATGCAATAAGCAAGACAACAGCAACCAGAGGTACCGACTCAACGGGCGCGCCATCCTCCCCCTGCCACCACCAGCCCCGTGCCGAGCGGAGCCACCCCAGGTGCCAGCAGGGTTAGGACAGAAGCAGCAACACACGAGCTGACCCCGAGGATCTTCCCGAGCTGGTGCTTCTAACGACTGCCCTCATCTCACAGACCATCCCCCGAGCACACCCGCATCCTTCCAGGCCTTTGTGAAAGGTTTGGCTCTGGGTACCCACAGCCCACTGCTCAGTGCCACCAGCTCGCCAACTTTCTCTTGAAAATCCTTGAGCTGTGCCTATAAAAAACTTTTCACTACTTCTGCTGCCAACTCAGGTGTAAGAAGTGACAACGCAGAACTGGAACGTGCAACAGAGACAGAGCCCAAGGGGAAAAAAAACAAATCTCCATATGCTCCAAATCCCAGTAGCCAAAGAAACCCCGCAATCCCACACGGGCTGGGAACCCCATCGCTTCCCTGAGAGCAAGCCCTGGACTTCAAGGAAGCCGGTTCCCTGCTGTGTATGAAGCCTACTTTCCCAGAAGTTCATTTCCGAATAAGCCAGGTGATTTCCAGCGTTAGCTATTTCCATTTCTCTTTCAAAAACATGGATAAAGATTAACTCACACGCACCATGACGGAGCACTTCTACACTGGCCGTAAGAGCAAGCCGCTGGCTTAACTCAACTAGATCAAACAAGAAAAATAACCAAAGGCATTTCATTCATATCCACTGCAACCTTTTTTTTTTTCCCTAGACATCAAGTTTCTAATAATTTACCTACTTCCTTTCCCATTAAGCATCAGCAGTTTTAATGCGTTTTTTTGTTCCAACTGCCTTCACAGAGCCCCCAGGACAGGCTGTGCTAACACTACGAGTTACTTTACCCTCCTTGCACTGCAGAAGTTGTGCAGCACCTTCACAAGCTGTTTCAATGTCAAGCTAATAACACGGAATCGCCCTGATGTCTTGCCTGATAATGCCAATCCTCTAATTTCACATAAATTTGCATAAGCTTGTTGTAGCTGTTCATTAACGCACCCCAATGACCAAATTAATACACCATTAGATAGTCCTCGCTTATCCTGTGACAAGTTTGAAGATGTTGAATGAGCAAAATTCAGCAGGCAGCTTTGGTCTGGGCCTTGTTCGGCTGCACCGAGGTTGCTCCCCCGTGTCAGACCAAGCACCTAAGGCAACCTACAGAGCCACCTTTAATTCCCACTCGTGTCTGCTCTCAGAGCTCTGCCCTCCTCCTCGTGGACCTTCAAGCACTGCAAGACAAGCATCTTAACCTCCTTCTCCAACTGGGAATCGAGCAGGGTGCTCAGGTCAGACCAGGAGCAACCCGAGAGCAACCCCAGCTCTCCCCCATGCAGGTTGGGGCTCTACTTCCCAAATAAAGCAGAGCAAGACCAGTAGAGATGAAACCTTTTCCAAACGGATCGCTGATACTCTCGCCAGGTCCACAACTCACCACCTCCAGTCCTGCTCACGCTTGCCCAGCCCGCAGAAGGGTGGCACAGAGGAAGGCAACAAGGAAAAAGGAGACACTCGTGGGGGAACTGGTTAAAAAACAAGCACAGAGCTACTAGGGATGAGTTCAGACTTCAGAAGTCCCCTGCTGACAGAACTTAACCTCTTTTGTAATCAGCTATACTTTGTCCTCACTGAAAAGAAAGTACACTGCACGCCTAAAAATTTAATGTACATCGCACTGAAAATAGTTTTGAAGTCATCATTTGGGTCCATAAATAATGACGATGACTCTTCGGGGCAGAAACAAAAAAAAAGGAACCTGCAGGGAACTTTCCACTTGTAGCTAAGATGCCCTTGGGAGAGGAGGGAGGAAGAGTGCCGGAATAAAGGACTTCCCCCGCTCCAGCCTCCTACCAAGACCTCCAACCAGACGTGAAAACCAGGAGGGACTGGAGCAGGCAGCAGGATCCCGCTGGCCTGCCTTGCAAAGGGAGGCTCTGGATCTGTGCTCTTCACCACGACTGCCACCGTAACATCACAAGGGAATGAGAGCAGCTTTGTGAACGCCCTCACTGCAAAAGAGCAGAAAAATCCACGCCTGGTGCAGAGGGCAGCGATTCACTGCGGACACATCCGCACTGCGCTGCAGCCGTTGAAGTTTACCAGGGCTGAAAAGGATTTCGGAGTAAATTTGTAGGTCATCAACTTCAGTTAAATTAAGAGAAGTAAGAAAACGGAAGCAAAACTTTCATGCTGCCTCTTCCTCCAGGTTAGCAAACTCGCTTTAAAGAGAAAACCCTCCTCCCAAGCTAGAGCAACCCCCCCGCCTTCACTTTGAGTTGGGTGCACAACATTTCAAGCCTTCTGAAGCCCGGGAAGACACCCTTCAGAGTTAGGCTTTGCTCTGGTAGCTTACAGATGACCTCCAAAAGTACTGGGTGCATGGCTTTTTATTTAAATCCTTAAAAACCGTGTTTCCCTAACACTGACTTAGCTCCCTACTGCTCTGAGCAGCCTTGGGAAGAAGCGCTCAGAACATCTGTGAGCGTGCTTCCCCCTTGGCTCTGCTCGTAGGTTTTGCTTGTTATTACAGCCCCATCACAGCATCTCTACCTCCTTCCTCCAAAACTGGGGGGAGAGGGCAGGAGGCACCTCGGAGGTGAGCAGGGGGACGAGGAGCAGGGGTCAGCGACACACGGACACAGCCCGAGGAGCTCTGAGCGGCTCTGGGAGCGATCTGGCAGTAATTCTAACAACCCACCCCACCAGCCTGAACCTTGCCTGCCCCTGGGACTCGAACCATGCTGCAAAGTTCTCCCTGAGCTGCTGTCACCCACCAAGATCAATGCCAGCACCCACAGGTCCCATTTTTTGGTATTCCTCCACCAAGGGCCTGCGACTCCGGGCACCGGAGCTGGCAGGCTCATGGCCCTCAGGAGAAGCCCGCTCCAAGCCTTGTTGTGGACACTGGAGAGCACCACAAACTCCACACCTGCCCTCAGCAGCCACAGCACCACCCTCACGCATGCCTCAGTCTGGATTTTGCTTCAAAACCCCCCAAAAAGGAGCTTCTTCTGGAAGGGCGACGCGCAGCCAGCCTGAGAGCAGCGCTCCGAATCCACAAGCACATCCTTGATTTTTCACTTCAAAACTAGAGCACTGGCAAAGCAGTTAGCGTTAATTAACAGAGGAAAGATGAAAGGCTGTAGCACAGCAGTTAAAAACAGGGTAACCGTAGCTCGCCCGGCTTCCTGAGGAGCACGAGCCAGGCCACCGAGGGAGGCGAGTCACCGGGCCGACTCGGTCAGGTGGCTCCAGCCACAGCCCCACGTGCACGGCGCTCGCATTCAAATCCTCACCCGCCTCCCAAAAATCAGAGCAAAGGGAAAAGAGTCAGCAAGGCCGAGGAAACGACGGGAGGGGAGGAGAAGCACGAGGACGGGGGCCGGTCACGCTACCGCCACAGCGGCCGTCGGGTCGCAACGCCCCCAAAAACGACCTTCCTGCAGCACGCCGACTTCGCCAGGTTTGGAAACTCAATTTTAGAGCCGGCCCTTGAAAGGAGAACTGGCTTTCCAAGCACACCGGCTTGTGCAACGCCTCAGAATATAAGCCCTGAACGGACACGGGGAGTTTTTGTTCTCTGAGAAGTTGTGACGGGAGTTTCGGGAGGGGGGAGAAACCGAGCACCTGTGCTCGCAGGAAGGCCCACAAGAAGCGGAGGGCTCCAAGCACCGGGGGCCTTGCCACCCGGCTGCCCCCAGGCCTTGGCCACCCCATGCAGACCTCCAGCCCCACAGGCGGCCTTGCCACCCGCTGGCACCGCTCACAGCCACCTCCCGTCGGTCTGAATTCCCCAAACTGCCATTTGAACCCTCACACGGAGGGAATTCCGCGTGTGAACGTCACCATCTCCTTTCACCTCACAGGCCGGGGTTGCTCTGTGAGGGCTCTGAGGCCCCCTCTCTCCCCCAGATCTCCTGCAAACCCACTTCGGGACGTGCCCTTTTCCTACTCCTTGTGTTAGAAACGGGGACAGAGGAGGTTATGGGAACCCACACAGAGCTCAATGTGTGCACAAAGGGCCAGGCATCAAAGTCTCTTCGTACCTGGCACCGCGACCACCTTCCAGCCCCCCCAGCTCCACGTCCTGGCAGCGGGGGCCACACGTGGGGGCTCAGCACCTCACACTGGGTGCTGAGGGAGGGTCCCTCCGAGCCGAAGGCCGTGCAGGCAAAGAGACCCCAAGGGAGGCGAGCACCAGGCCGGCTCCCACTTCCCCCCTCACCTCCTCCATGCCCAGGCAGCTCCGCAGCCCGCGGGGTCACAACCAGCTTTGAGAAGAAACTCTGTGAGGATGAAATCCCCTCATACCCCATTCTGCGGCCGAAAGACGGCATCTGAGCTCCTAACCCCACAGAGTAACGTAAAATGCAGGCACTCGACATGAAGCCAACCCCCTGAGCCCAGAAATCCTGTTTAATAACAATACTGCACAACACGCACAGCAGATCCCCTCCACGCCTCTTGTATCACCCCTCAACGTTTTATGGTTGTCAGACAGATGTCTGCCAATTTAGGGAGGGATTCACAGAAGTAACTCTCAAAGCTTTAAGAAAACGTGACAGGCAAGTACAGGACGATGAAGTTATCGATAACCCAGTGGTCACATGCAGTTTGGCAGCCAGCGCGCCTGTAATGACCTACATTTGGGAAACGGGCCCCTTTTTCCTCTTCTCTTTTTTTACAGAAAGAATGAAAAAGGTGAAGAACGTACTGGAGAACTGCAGATTTTTTTAAATATATCCCTAAGTATCTTCTGTGTATATTGACGCAACAGACCGGCTCCTAATCACTCAGGGAAAAATAACTCTTTTAACATTAACTTCCCAGGGAATTGTACTTCTGCTCTACAGCAAAGAAGAAGGAATCACTAAGCTCCGATTTTACAGC